GTGAGAATGAAGAAAGTGATGTGCAGAGCAAGGTGCTAGACCAATTCTAGACTTATCCTCTCTAAGCTAAACATTTGAACAAAACAAAAGCAATGGCCCTGAGACAAGACTACTAGAAGACTTAATGTCAACAATTTGGAGCACTTCTCTGAATATGAACAGTTTGTTGATTCTCTTAGCACTTTCTCAGTCACCAGTGGAGCACAGCAAGTCTGAGTGCTTGCTCCCATGCTTTTCAGCCTGATGTTTTCAGCGATGTTGTCAGATGCCTTCTGTGATGATGAAAACAGCATCAAGGTCACTGATGTAAATGATTTGATTTGAAAAGGAGAGGAGGGAGAGTTGGTGTTTGACTTTTTGTTCACAGATGAACAATTGCACTTAATGCAGCATCTGAGTCTGAGATACAACAAAGTACGGATTGGTTCCCTGTTGCTTGTGCTAATTTTGGCCTGACAATGAACACCAAGAAGATAGGTTCTCCACCAGCCAGCACCACATGGAATCATCAGTAACACCACATGGAGAAATTTTGAATGTTGTGAATAAGTTCACTTACCTTGGCAGTATACTTTCCAGGGATATACACACAGATGATGAGATTGAAGCCCACATTGATAGAGTTAATGCAGTGTTTGGGAGGCTCCAAAGGAAAGGGTGGGAGAGAGGAGGGATTAGGCTGCTTACCAAACTGAACGTCTACAGAGCCATTCTGCTGCCCTCGTTGTATGCCTATGAAACTGGACAGTCTACCAGCACCATGCCAGGAAACTGAATTGCTTCCATTTGAACTGTCTTAGGAAGATTCTGACGATCACCTGGCAAGATGAGGTACCAGACACCGAGGTCCTTTCTCAAGTTGAACCGCCAAGCATTCAAACGCTACTGCAGAGAATGAAACTCTGATGGGCTGGTCACATTGTTTGAATGCCAAACATACATTTGTCTAAAAGATTATTTTATGGAGAACTATGCAAGGCAGGCGCACACACAGAGGTCAGAAGAAGTGATATGAGGACACTCTCAAGGTCTCTTTGAAGAACTTTGGAATTGATTGTGTGACATGGGAGGTACTGGCACAGGACCGTCTAGCATGGCATGCCCTCATCAAAGAAGGTGCTGTGCTCTGCCAGGGAAGCAGAATTGCAGTAGCTAAAAGGAAATGTGAGATGCATGAATTTAGAGATGGCTTCACTCCAAACGTTCACATGGACTATTTGTGCCCCACTGTGGTAGAGTTTTCCGAGCTCATACTGATCTGATCAGCTCCATTTGGACACAGTGTACCTTGACTCCAACACAATGATGTCATTTTGGTCCTCTGAGCACAAAAAACAATAACCACCTACGTGAGAGGCTCTGTGCTAAGTGTTTAATAAATATCTCATTTTACCTTCATGTTATTATCCCCATTTTATGGATGGGAAACAGGAAAACTGAGGTTAAGTGACCTGCCCAGGGTTAGAAAGTTGGTGCATATCTGGGGCTGAATTTGAAATCAGGTTTTCCTGACTACAGGCCTAGTGCTCTGTGCACTATGGGGCCACCGAGCTGCCTTCCTTTGTACATTTCACACTGTAAATATCGGTTATTATTAACCTAACTAAAGGAGAGATAGGTTTAGAAGAAAGAGGAAAGTGGGGAGTTGGGGGGGAATAGAGATGGCAGTCTCATAAAATAGCAGAAAGAGCACTGGATTTGGAGTCAAAAGACCTGACCTAGACTGAGTTCTGTCACTTACTGGCTGTGTGAATGCTAAGCAAGTCACTTTTTAATCCTGGGCCTCAGTTTGTTCATCTGTAAAGGGGGGGGAGTTGTATTCAATGGTCCTCCTGCTCAAAATCCTTGTTGTTCTTGTTTGGTCATTCAGTCATGGCTGATTCTTTTCCTCTTGATTTCAGGGCCGTTTTTTTTTTCATTTTGCCACCTAGCTGCCCCCTTTTTTTTTTTTTCATGGCTGATTCTTCATGATCCCATGGACCATAGCATGCCAGGCCCTTCTATCCTCCACTATCACTGGAAATGTGTCCAAGCTCATTTTTGTTGCCTCCATGACACTGTCTATCCATCTCATCCTCAGCTGTCCCCTTTTCCTTTTGCCTTCAATCTTTCCCAACATCATGGTCTTTTCCAATGAGTCCCATCTTTTCATTATGTGGCCAAAATATTTAAGCTTCACCTTTGGTATTGAACCTTCCAGCAAACAGTCTGAATTAAGTTCTTTAAGTATTAGCTGATTTGATCTCCTTGCTATCCAAGAGATTCTCAAAAGTCTTCTTCAACACCACATTTCAGGGCTCAGCTTTCCTTATGGTCCAACTCTCCTAGTCATACATTGCTACTGGAAAAACCATAGCTTTGACTATATAGACCTTTGTTGGCAAGATGATGCCACTGCTGTCCAGATTTGCCATAACTTTCCTTCTGAGGAGCAAGAATCTTCTAATTAGATCTCCACCATTTTTGTCTTTTATCATATCCATTTATGCATGAAACTTTCCTTTGATATCTCTAATTTTCTTGAAGAGAGCTATCTTTTCCATTCTATTGTTGTTTCCGGTCCCTCCCCTCCATTTCTTTGCATTGCTCATTTAAGAAAACCTTATCTCTCCTTGCTACTCTCTGGCATTCTACATTCAGTTGGCTCTATCCTTCACTTTCTCCTTTACCTTTCACTTTCTTTCTTTTCTCAGCTATTTGTAAAGCCTCATCAGATAACTATTTTGCTTTCTTGCTCTTCTTTCTCTTTGGAATGTTTTTGGTTGCTGCCTCCTGTATAATATTGCGAACCTTTGTCCATGGTTCTTCAGACACTCTACCTACCAGATCTAATCTCTCAAATCTATTTATCACCTCTACTTCATATTCATAAGGAATATTATTTAGGTCGTACCTATATGGTCTGATGATTTCCCCTATTTTCTTCAATTTAAGTCTGAATTTTGCAATCAGAAGCTCATGATCTGAGACAGCTCCAGGTCTTGTTATAACTGACTGTATAGAGCTTCTTGTTTGATCATAGGATCAGTGGTTATCTTGACAAAACTCTAGTAGTCTCTGCCCTGCTTCAAGGCCAAACTTGCCTGTTATTCCAATTATCTTTTGATTTTTTACTTTAGCATTCCAATCTCCTATGATGGCCTTTTTTTGGTGTTATTTCTAGACGATGACGTAGGTCTTCACAGAAATGATCAACTTTGGCCTCTTCAGCATCAGTGGTTGGATTACTGTGATGTTGAAAGGTTTGTCTCGGATTTGAACTGATATCATCGTCATTTTTGAGATTATACCTCAGTACTGCTTTTCTCACCCCCACCTTTTTTTTTTTTAACTAAGAGGGCTACTCCATTTTGTCTAAGGGATTCTTGCCCACAGTAGTACATGTAGTGATCACCTGAATTAAATCCACCCAGCCCCATCCATTTAAATTCACTGCCACCCAAGATGTCGATGTTTAAGCTTTCCATCTCCTATTCGACCACATCTAGCTTACCGTGGTTCCTAGATCTTACGTTCCAGGTTCCTATGCAATGTTGATTTTTACAGCATCAGACTTTCCTTTTGTCACCAGATGCATCCACACTTGAGCTTTCTTTTAGCTTTGGTCCAGCTGCTTCATTAGTACTGGAGCTACTTGTAGTTGTTCTGGGCTCTTCCTCAGTGGTGTATTGGGCATTTTCCAACCAAGGGGTTCGTCTTCTGATGTCATCTCTTTTATCATTTTGGCACTGTCCATGGAGTTTCCTTGGCAGAGATACTGGAGTGGTTTGCCATTTCCTTCTCCTGTGGATCATTTTTTGTCAGAACTCTCCACTATGATCTGTCCATCTTGGATAACCTTGCATGGTATGGCTCATAGAGCTGGGGTTCGGGTGGGGGGCTCAAAATCCTATGAGTCTGTAATTAGGCAAGAGAAGGAAGGTTCCTGAGGGAGCTAGGGCAGAACTGTACATAGGAGGCAATAAATAAACATTTGTTAAATTCAGGGTGCAGACCCGAGGGAAGGAGAAATTATTTACAAGGCAGGCAAGCATTGGAACAGATAATGAGTACAAGTCTAGCTTTGGCGATAGTTCTTACTCATCCCTATTTTAGTCTGAGTCCCAACATCTCATTCCTTAAATCTAGTCCTTTCTTAGGGTTTTATTACCTAAAAACTGAAGGTAATGGGGCAACAGGATGGGTTCTGGAGGCCTTGTCCCACTCTGCCCCTCTAGGGTTCTGACCTTCCTAGGTTGGGGGGAAAGAGAAAATCCTCTACATACATTTCTCTATGTATTTACATAGAGAAAGAATGAATAGTCCAAGTATCAAAGGTGGCTAAGTGACCTGCAGGACTGGTGAGTGCCTCTGGAGGGTGGGGTTGAGGTGATTGCCTGAAGCAAGGCAGAGAAGGAGGGAGTTATCCATGGAAGGAGGGTCTAAAATTCCAGTCTGGGGCTCCTGACTTGGTTCTGAGCTGGGCTGACTCTTAGCTCTAGAGATTCCGTTCTGGGGTAAATTCTGGGCACTGCAGTGACCCCAAATGGCCAGGGCTGAGCTCTGTCCTCCAAACTGGCATCTAGTCTGAATCCTGGTCTCTACTTTAGGGCAGGCTCTGGTCTTCAATTTGGGCTCTATTCTGGTTTGCATTCTGAACTTTCTGGGATGGGTTCTGGGCTTGACTCTGATCTCTGGTCTCCTCCCTGGACTGGGTTCTGGTCTTGACTCTGAGCTTTGGGCTCTCTGGGCTGGGTTCTGGTTTAGTTGTGGCTCCCTGGTCACTGGCCTATGCTCTAGGTTCTGAGTTCTCGCCAGGCACTCGGCACAGAGGGAATTGTAGGACTGGGATCAGTCAGTCTGGCAGAAAGTACCCCGCAGGGAGGGGCTTGGAACTCTCTTCCCTCCTCAGTTTGGGCTCACAGAAGCCTGATGAGCTTTCGGATCCCCCGCCCCTCACCAGTCCTTACACTACTATTGGTCCTTCCGGAACCCTATGGCTGATGATTGGCTGATGCAGTTGCCAGTTCTAGTCCCGGGTTTATTAAGGAGAACATCGTATTCTGTCTGAGGCTCCGGCGTCGGGGCCAGGAGCAGTTCAGGTAGGAGAGTTTGGAATTCCCGATGGGACTGGAGGGAGGGAGACACGGGAGGATCGGAAGAACCAGGGATGGGGATGTAAGAGTTGAGGGGGCAGAAGATGGGGGGCGGGGAGAGGTGGGGACCTAGGGTTGGAGGTTTGAGATCGCATGGACTGAAGATCTGGGGCGGAGAGTTGGGGGCGGGGGCCCGAAGTGGGGCTGCGCTGGGGAAGACTGGAGTGGTGAGGGCCCATGGAGTAGATGAGGGTGGGAATGGGATTGCAAGTTCAGCCCAGTTCAGGGAGTATGTCCTAGGCAGGTCGTCTTCCCTGGAAGTTTTGAGGAGAAGGGTACGAGGGAGGCCCTTGAGGGGAGTGGGCTCTCAAAGACGTTCCAGGAAGGACTGAGGAGCTGGATAGGAAGAGTCTGCTCTATTTTTGTCACCCCCAGTAGGAGAGGATGTGATTACCCATCCTTGTGACTGGACGGGGATGGGAAGAAGTGCGTGTTGAGGTGGGGGGAGGTTGTTAAGCCTTTGTCCTAAGAGAAGGAGGGGGCTGGCTGGGGTGGGGGGTGTCTTGGAAGCCTCCGACCATGTTCCTACTCCTTCCTCAGGTAAGGGCAGGGGCTTACACCTGGAAGCCTATAATGCACAGCTTCCTACCAGGGGTTGGTACCAGACCTCCTCTGCTTAAGCTAGCAGATGCTTTGATATTGCCTATCTCTTCCCCTCAGCCCTGGAGACCAGGCCTGGGGGGGGGGGGGGTGCCCTAACCTCTCCGGAAGCTGGGGCCTGGGAAGCAGCCCCAGGGGCCCTGAGAGACAATGGGCAGGCGGATGAAGCCGCCTAGCCAGGAAGGAAGAATCTGTCCCTTCCGTCCCCTCCCACTCCGAGGGATAGTGAGGGAGCTCTAGGGGGGCTTGGGACATCAATGCCTGAATGGGGTGGGGCCTCACTGAGGTCAGTTCTTACAGTCCTTCCTGCAGGAAGGGAAAAGCCAGGCTTTCTTCCTCTGATCTTCAGGTGGGCAGCCTCTAATACCTTTGGGCCCTTCATAATAGGGTCTGAGACAACTATCAAGGTCTTAGGACTACAGGGTTTAGGGCTGGAAAACAGGAGCAAAGTCTTCTAGTCTACTCATGTAATAAAAGGGGAAAGGGAAACTCAGTAGGGAGAATATTTGCCTCAAAGTATTCAAATATGCAGATAGGAGATAGAAGTCTGTAGCTGCAGACACCCCCCCATTGGAAAGAATGCTAGTCTTCAAATCCTAGCTCTTTCTGCCATTTATCCTGATAAGTAATTTTGCCTCTGGAATCGCAGTTTCTTTATCTGTAAAATGGTAATAATAATATCTACTCTACTTAACTCTCTGGGTTGATGGGAGGAAAGCACTTTGTAAAACCTTGGAAGTGTGAGCTATAAGAATTCATCCTCTCATCAACAGTTAAGGCCTTTCTTCCTCCTTCTTCCTCCTTCCCCCTCCCCAACTTGTCACCCAGTGATAACAGCAGTTCAGGATCCCAAAATAGCTGGCAGGGCCCTGGGAGTCATGATGGGCTAATGAGGGGCTCTCAGGCAGCAGCATCCGGCTTCCTTGACAGCCTAGGGCAGGGGGTAGGCGGGTGAAGCAAGGGAAGCTGTTTACCAAAATCGGGGCTTGGATCCCACTCTGATACACACATATACACACAGGGACATGCTCTATAAAGTGATGGGGTGGGGAGGTGGGTGGTATCATATGACACTGACTAGGCGGCGGTGGTGGTGGTGGTGGGGAGAGAGGGCTGTGTTCTTCACACATACACCACTGAGTTCACAGAATCCTAGAATCTCAGCCCTGTTTGAGACCTCAGAGGCCTTAGTGGTCCTGTAACCTCTATTCAAGAATTCTAGTTTACTATTAGAGACAGCCAGTTCTATTGAAAGGGGTTGGCCCAGAGAGCCAGAGTCCAAATCAGACCCTGAACTCCTTCCTCCTCCCCTCCAAACCCCAAATAGGCTCAGCCCCTGAGCTGTTACTGCCAGAGACTGATCAGCTCCAGGTATTTTTGGTCCTGTTTCCTCTGGCCTTTGGCATCTGGCTTTGCAAAACCGGAGCCATCGCCACTGGGGAGCAGGGGTGCGGGGAGGGGGAGGGTCACTTGCTCTGACCAGATGAAGGAATCAGGGAGGCTAGAATGGAAGACTCCTGACTGGAGGCAAATTGAATGGGGTCAGATAATTAATTTGTCCAAATCAAATGACTTGTTATGAATCTGTTTGTTTTATCTGGGACTGTGAACTGGGGATACAAGAACGCACATTTATATAGGTTTACAAAGCATTACACATTATAACCCAGACCCTAATCCCAAGCAGCTTCCAACATGGCATCTAACTAGGGAGGAAAAAGTAAACAAATAATTCTGCTGCTAAGGAGGGTGAGAAGTGTAGAGGAGAGAGATGAAGGCACCTGGCTGAGAGTCATCCAAGAGGCACGTTCTTTCCTGCAGCTGGGTCAGAGAAGGCTTCAGGCAGTAGTTGGCACTTGAGTTGGCCCAGGTGAGGGTGGAGCTTACAGGGTGTTGGGGAGGATGACCCTTGGGAGACCCAGCATCAGCATCCATCTCTTGGGTCTAGGTCCCTCCCCTCCTTCCCCCTTGGTGCCTGCCTGTCCAGCTTCAGGGAGCTGGCACGTTTCCAGATGAGACTGGAATGTCTGAACTATGTATCACTAGCTTGGACAGGGGAGGAGTCTCAGATCCTTGTTTTTTCTACTGGCCCCAGCATTCCTGATCTCCCCCTGGTGAGGCAGGGTGGACCCAGCTCCCAAAGACTGTCTTCTTGACCCTGTGGCTGTTTTGGCTGCTTAGAGAGCGCAGGCTGCAGTTGCAAACAGATGTTCCAGCACCCTTGGCTTTGTATTGTGTGCTCAGCTGTTCCTTTTGGCCTCCTCCCTGATTCTGGGCAGTGAAGTCACTTCTCCCATTTCCAGGATGTTAGACTCACACATTGTTCCAGCTGAGAGGGCAGGGAGAGGCCAGCTTCTTTGTGTATAGATAGGGAAAGGGGCCCAGAAAAAAAAGGAGGGACTCCCCTAAGGCCAGTATTGCAGTCAGAACTGGAACTCAGTTCCTTGGGTCCCAGGCTGGACCTTTCCTTCCCTTCTAGCTGGTGAGAGTACTGGACATAAGTGCCCTTGGAGGTTAGGTCTCTTGGGAAGCCAAGGCTTGGATGTTCTCTGCCTACAGCCTTCCTCCCCTCTCCTCCTGCTTGCCTGGATGCTTCATAATGACTCATTTGTAGAAAATGTCCTTAGACCTTTCATCCCAGAATCATGAGATTTTAGAGCTGGGAGGGATCTTGAATGTTTTCTAGCTCAGACCCCTTCCCCCTACCCCACAGCTGGGGTACAGAGAAGGGGGGTGATTTACCCAAAGTTAAGGAGGTTTTTTAAGCATTTTACAGGCAAAATAAATTTGACTTTCTTTCAGAAGCATGTATAAATATGGTGACCAGTTCTTTCTAGGTCATGCAATCATAGGGGAAGGAAGGATTAGGCATTTAGATATCATGTGCCAGACACTGTGTAAGTGCTTTACATATATGATCTTCTCCAGCAGGGTCCTTGGAATCAAGGCAGAGGTATGATTTGAACCCAGGTCCTCTGCCTCCAAATCGAATGTTTATTCCTTCTGTACCATGTAATTGACAGTACAAGCATTGTAATCGACAGCATAAGCATTATGGTTCCTACTTTTCAGAGGAGAAAACTGAAGTTCACTAGGTAAATCTCCTTAGGTAAAAGGCAAGAAACTGCCAAGGCTGGACTTGAATCTGGGTGTTGCAATTTTTAGCACCAGGACAGTTCTTCCTAACTAGGCAGCTCGTGGTACAGTGGACAGAGGTGCTCAGCCCGGAGTCAGGAAGACCTGAGTTCAAATCTTTGCCTCAGACACTTACTAGCTGTGCAACCTTGGGCAAGTCACTTAACTCTGTGCCTCAGTTTCCTCAACTGTAAAATGGGGATAATATTAGCACCTACTTCCCAGGGTTGTTGTGGGGACTGAATGAGATGTTTGTAAAAAACAAAACAAAACAAAACAAAAACGACTTCACCTAGGATAGAGGAAGAGCTTTATAAATGCTCATTCCTCCCCTCCCCCTACCATACTGTGCTATCTCTCAAACAGATCAAACATTCAAGCATGGTTATAGGAGCCAGTTTTCTACCTGTGCTCTTCTACCCCCTTGGTTTCTGGCTCCCTGAAGGTGACATAAGTCCTTTGGGATACCTACTAGCCTCAGCAGTAATTGAGTTAATAATAATTGGGATGGGGGGGAAGGATCTTGGTTTTGAATCTGTGATGTCATCAGCATAGGGGATTCCTGGTGTGGAGAGTCCTTCCACCCATGCAAATTGACAGCTGTTTTGTAACTTTTAATCTTAGAGAATTTCCTGAGAAACTTTCTGAGTTTTAATTCATGAAGAAGTTAAGTGACTTACCCTTCGGTCACACAGATAGTAAATGTCAGACTTGAAACTGAGGTCTTCCTGACTCTAAGGCTGACTATTAGATCATGCTGCATCTCAGCCTTTTTTTTTTTTTTGCCAAATCTGTGATTTATTTGGAAACTGTCTACTAATACAATAATTAGCACCTGCTTTGCAACCTGTGTTCCTGGGCATTAAGTGATTTGCCAAGATTCATTTAGAGTAATATATTTTTTTAAATGGGTAGCCATGGTATATAGGTTTGGATGCTGCATCTGGTTGCTGAGGTTTGGATTCAGGTTCTGCTGTTTGTTAACTGTGTGACCCTGAACATTTCTTTTCCCCTTTCTGGGCCTCAGTTTCTCCATATGTAAAATGAAGGGGTTGGACTCAGTGGTTCCTAAGGTCCCTTTGAACCTCAAATCCCCTGATATAGCTCCCATTTCCATGTGAGTTTGGAGCAGGCAGTGTTTTCTTTACAATAACTCTGTGTAATAGGTCCACTCCATTTTTAGAGAAGGAAAGTGGAAGTTTCCTTCCTTTAGCTAGGAAGCTCTGGAGCTAGGAATTGAACCTGGGTCTTGTGACTTAAGTCACACGTTCTTGTTGCAATGGCCAAAGGCCCAGTGTGGGGTGCGTGTTCTGACTGAGCTCTAATTATGCTTACTAGAGGTATCAGATTCTAGCTGCCAGAGACAGCCGTACCTGGAGGCCGCTTCAACCACTTAGAATTCACATCCTGTTTCCTACTTACTTTTCCAGCCCTATTATGCTTTCCTCCTCTTCATGCCTCTGTGGTCCCTCCAGACTAGCCTTCTGGCTATTTCTTGAACATGATTCTCCATCTCCCCTCTTCAAGCATTTGCACAGGCTGGTCCCTTGTCTAGAGCACATCTCCTTTTTGTCTCTGACCCTTAGAATCCTTTGTTTCCTTCAAAGCTCAGCTTAGGTTCCTCCTGCCCCCCCCCAACATGAGACTTTTCCTCACCCTCCCCACTGTCAGGGCCTCCCCTGGCCCCTATTACTATGTATTTACTTCATTAACATTTAGTACATACTCATATATGCATATGTTGTTTTCCCCCAAGGAATATAAGCTTCTTGAAGGCAGGAACTATTTAATTTTTCTCTTTGTATTTCTAGCACCTGGCCTACAAATGGTGCTTAATTAATGCTTGTTGATTGATTTCAAGGATCCTGCTGGGAATAATCCTCATGCCAGCTTGTTTCTCCTCTTCTTCAATGCTGAGAGAGGGGATCTGGGGTAGCCCTAGCGGTATAGGAATCCTTCCAAATCTCATCCCACTCTGCCCCATCAGGAGGTAGGTGACCATGTCCTAGAGGTAGCCAGGTGAGTAGAAAAGGGAACCTGGAAATTCCACTGTACTTCCTCCTTGGAGCCACGGACCTGGGACATGAACTCTCAGCTAAAATGGGAGGGAGTGTCTTTGACAGGGGTCGGGTGGGGAATGGGGTACTCCTTTTAGTCTGGCTTCTTACTGTGCTTGGTTTTAGTCATTTTTTTGGGTTTTTTTTAGGCAATTGGGGTTGACTTGTCCAGGGTCACAGAGCTAGTAAGTATCTAGTAAGTATCAAGTGTTTGGTCTGAGGTCGGATTTGAACTCAGGTCCTCTTGACTTCAAGGCCAGTGCTCTATCCACTGCGCCACCTAGCTGCCCCTGGTTTTAGTATTTAAGGGGGTTGGTACTCCCTGGGGAATCTTCATTTGTAATAGAAATGGAGTTACTGGAACATAGAACGTCAGAGCTGGATGGGACCTTAAAATGTTGCAAGTCAGAGTTGGGAGGAATCTCAGAGATGATCTCATTCAGGGATTCTTAACCCCAAGGGGCTTGAGGTTGGATTTCAAGTCTGTGAACTTGGATGAAGAAAAAAAATTATATTTTTATTTTTACTCATCTCTCACTGAAATTTATCATTTCCTTCAATTATGAGCATAGGTAACAAAACATGATTCTGAGAAGGGGTCCATAGGCTTTACCACACTGACAAAGGGGACTATGCCACAAAAAGGTTAAGGACCCCCAAACTAGTTCAACCCCTTCATTTTACAGAGGAACAAAATGAAGTTTAAACAGGTTGAGTGATGTCCTCAAAATCACACAGGTAGTAAGTGATTCAGAGCAGGGATGTGAACTGTGAGATCTTTCTGACTTCAAATCCAAGGTTCTTTCCATACCCCTCCAAAGAACGCTGCCTTAGGCCAAAAGGCCCCTGGTACTGGAGGGCTGGGGAAGGGGCTCACTGAAGACCCCATCGTTCCAGGGGAGAGGGCAGATTGGGCAGGATCAGAGTTAAACATTTTGTAAACTTGCTGACCTAGGCTAATACCTTTTTTTCCTGCTTGTTCACACAGAAAATGGCAAAGTTTGCCATGAACCAGAACCTGCCAGGTGAGAGGAATTGGGGGCAAGGAAAACTTCCTTCTCTTCCCAAGGGGCTAAAGTGGTTGGGGCTAGCGAAAAGGGCAAGGAAATTCAGGCCGTCCAGGCCATTTCCCTTCTGTAACCAGGAAGGGGAATTGGTGGGAAATGGTGGTTCAGATATTCCCAGCAGGGCATTGCTTTTGCTGTCCCTGGATATGAGTGACCTCTGGGTTCCCCCTCCCCCTAGCCTTTAGGTTTGGCCCTATATTTGTTCCCCAAGTACTTGGGTCTGACCCCATGTCTCCCTTTTTGGTCTCTAGTCCTGACTGTTACTAGTTCTGAATCATGTATCTCTCCCCGCCAGACCTGGGCGGCCCCTTTCTATACAGGGACCAGGATGGTGGGGCTCGAAGTCCATACTCAGTGGAAACTCCTTATGGCTTCCAGCTGGACCTGGATTTCCTAAAGTATGTGGAGGATATTGAAAGTGGGCAGGGTCTCCGTAGCAGAGCACCACTGCCCACCCGTCGACCCCGGGGACCCAGGCCTTCTGGCCCCCGAAGTCCCCGTAGCCCAGGACCCTGGACTTCTACGGAGTCTTTAGCCAGTGAGGATGGACGGGGGTCATCCCAGAGCCTGGGGGAGTCTGGGGGAGCCTTGTCCCTCGCCCCAGCACCTCCCCTTAGCCTCGGCATCCTGCCACCACCATCACCCCAAACAGTCTTAGGGAGAAACCCCAGAGTGGAGAAGACGCTGCTGGAGACGAGTCGGCGGCTGGCACAGGAACAGGAGCAGGTGCCTGTCGGTACCGGACTTGGTCCTGGGCTGGGCTGGAAGAGCCCGCTGAGCTCCGGTCGCAGCAGTCCCGCCCCAGCTGCCAGCCCGGCCCAACTGCAGCATGTCCGGGAGCAGATGGCGGCTGCACTGCGGCGACTTCGAGAGCTGGAGGGCCAGGTGAGATCGCTTCCCGCTCTGCAGCAGCAGCTGCGCACCTTACGTGAGGAGAGGGCTCGTCTGATCGGGGCGGGGCACCAGCTAGGCCCCGAACCCGAGCTCGAGCTCGAGCTGGACTCCGTGGCTCGGCCTGGGAAACTGGCTGAGTTACGCCGGCTGACCGAAAGACTGGCCACATCAGAGAGGGGGACCAAGGCCCGAGCTCAGGCCCAGGGGGCTTCCTGCGAGACGGGCGTGGTAGCAGTACCTGAGACCCGGGAAGTGGGCACATTAATGGCGCTCGAGACGCAGGAGGTAGGTGTGTTGGCAGCATCGGAGACCTGCGAGGCAGGCATACTGGCAACACCCCAGACTTGTGAAGAGGGCACACTGGCAGTGCCTGACACCCACGAGGCAGCCATATGGGTGACAGAGGCGCTTCTGGGAGTGCCAGATGCAGCCGAGCGGGAGCTGGAGATGCTGAAGAACAGCCTGGAACACCAGCGTGGGGTGAGTGCCTTCCTGCAGGGGCGACTCCAGGAGCTCGAGGCCGTTCAGCTCCCGAAGGAAGAGGAGGCAGCATCGCGGTCACGACGACAAGAGGCTGCCACGCAGACCCCTGGCCACACAGTGCAGGTGGCCGTGGCTGACAAGGGCATGCAGGCTGAGCTGGGGCCCCTGGAGCTGAGCCCTGGAGACACTGCCCTCAGTGGGCATGAGGCCCCATGTCCAGTGCCAGCTCAGCACAGCAGGGCCACAGCCCAAGCTGGTAGGTTTGGCTTGCCTCTTGCCTTCTACTCTGCCTGGCGGTGGGCATACCCGAGGGTGGTGCCTGGTCCAACAAGCACACTTTGTCTTTAGGTACCCTCAGATCCATCATGAAGAAGCGGGATGGAGCAGCAGAGCCTGGCTCTGGCCCCAAGAGCTTGCAATTTGTGGGCATCCTCAATGGAGAGTGAGACTCTAGAACCCAATTCCCTCCTCCTGGGCTCTGGGTTCTCTCTTGGTCCCAAGTAAAGAACACTGGATTTGAAATCAGAGGCCTGGCTTCCTGGTCTAGCCCTTCCACTCACTAGTGGTGTGACCTTGGGAAAGTCCCTTGCCATCTTTGGCCTTAGCTTCCTCATCTACAGAAGAGGGGGCTGGGACTAGATAATCTCAAAGGTCCCTTCAACTCTAAATCCTATGATACAGTGCCTGACTTTCCCTAGCTTAGATCCAAGTCCTTCCCTCGTTCTGGGCTATAGCTTCCTTCCATGATTCAAACATGGTATGGGCTTCCTTGGACAGAAGTAGTTTCCTCCTCACTAGAGAATGGTTGATTACTGGTCCGGAAGGTTGGGCAGGGGAGATGCCAGACCAGAAACACATCATACGTCATGCCTGGAAATTACATTCCCTTCTGAGACTTTGAGATTCTCTACTCCTGTTTGGCACTTGGGGCCTCTCCTCTTTGTCTTCCTCCACCCACAAGCCCTTCTCCTGTCAGGTATGAGAGCTCCTCATCCAGTGAAGAGGAAGAGGCCAGTGATGGTGACAGTGATTCAGAGCCAGGGGACCCCGAGGGCTCCTCAGATGACAGCTCTGGCTCTGCTGGCCAGTCCCCACCTCACTCCCCAGTGAGTGGTTCTGGTGTCCAGGGCCAGCCAGAGCCTGCACACGATGCCCCTGGCAGCCGGGAGAAGTGAGTAGGGGTGAAGGGAAGAGTAAGTCAGTTTTTTTCTATCTCTGGGAGGGTCTCCATCCTATCCAAAGTCTTGCTCTGCCCCCTTTCCACCCCTTTAGGAGTCTCTTCCCCGTACCTTAGGGCCCCATTCTCTTCCTTGCTTCAGGTTTGAGCTGAGTCCCCGCCTGAAGGAAGCCTGTCTGGTGCTTCAGAAGCAGCTGAGCCAGCCCAGGGGCAGCCGAGACCGAGAAGGGGTAAGTGCTTGGTCCCCCAAGACCCCTCCCATCAAGGCTCTGAGGAGGTGAGTAGGGCCATGGGCGAAATCTCCTGTTATTTTCTGCTTTTTCATCTCTCTTCACAGACTGCCAGCACGTCACGCCTGGTGCAGCAGGAATGGTTTCGTGTGTCCAGCCAGAAGCACTCCCGCCCTGGTCCTGTGGCAGCCCTCTTGGCAACTCTGAACGCACACTCGCCAGCCTTGCTGGCCCACGTGGTCAACCTGGCCGATGGTAACGGCAACTCGGCCCTGCACTACAGTGTCTCCCATTCCAATTTTGACATTGTACGCCTGCTGCTGGATACTGGTCAGTGGGGCCTGGGGCCTGGCTTGAGGCATGGAGAGCAGGGCTGGGAGCTGGTCAGTGGGCCCTGAAAGTCCAGGTCTAGCTGGAAGTTGTAAGGGGTGTCCACTGAGTATGTACTTTGAACCTGGCCATCTTGGTTCCTGTGGGGAAAGGAGCCACCCAGGTCTGAGGGAAGAGACACATGGTTCAGGAGTCAGGACCAGAGATGGAAGTGGGAGATATGGCTAGGTCTGGTCAGGGGGGGCTGAGAGCTGGGATTTCCATAATTGTCACTGCTTTTCCTTTGGGGGCTTCATTCCATCAACCAGTCTCTTTTGAATAGCTGTTTGTGATGTGGAAGAGGCAATGCCTTTCTATTATTTGGAAGTTTGCATCCTTGGACATGCGAGATGGATCTGCACAAGAGTATAGAATCCAGTGCTAGAATGGGTGTTGTGATTCAGACTCAGGGCTCCAGGAACCCAGAGGAGGGGGATCCATGAGGGTTGCTGGATTAGTCAGAGCCTAAGAGTTCCTGGATGAATCAGATTCCTAGAGCCAGAAAGGAACCTTGGAGCTCTCTACTATAACACCATTCCTCAAACAGGAGTTCTCTTTACAATCTACCCAAAAAGGAGCCCTCCACCTCTGCTTAAATAATTCCAATGACAGCGAGTTCACTACCCAGAAGAATCATAGAATTCAGAAATGGAAAGGGGCATTCAATTCAATAATTCAATTCAAGCAGGACTTACATACTCACATATAGTATATATATATCTACTACATGTCAGCTATTCTAGATGCTAAAGATGCAAGGACAAAAATGAAACCGTCTCTGTTGACAAAGAGTTTACATTGCATTGGTGGGAAACAACATATACCAAGAAAATTAAATATGAAATTTATGTGAAGTTAATTTCTGGGGATGGGCACTAGAAAATAAAAGGATGAGGATAGACTTCATTTATGAGGTGACGTGTGAACTGAGCTTTGAAGGAAGCTAGAGATTCTGAAAACAGGAGGTGAAGAAGGAGGGTATGGGAGACCAACTGAGGCTGGAGATGGAATGAGTGTTGGGGGAACTACTAGTTGGCCCATGTGACTGGATCGTAGTGTGCATGAAAGAAAGAAAATAGCACCTTATTATGCACAATAGGCCTGGAAAGGTGGGCGAGAGCCAGACTCAGAAAAGCTTTATGACCAAATAGGTTTTAGATACCACCTAAGTCCAGCGGAGACAGCTAGGCGGTGCCATGGTGCACCGAGCACTGGACCTGAAGGTAGGGGAGACTCATCTTCCTGAATTCAAATCTGGCCTTAGATTCTTACTAGTTGTGTGACCTTGGGCAAGTCACTTAACCCTGTTTGCCTCAGTATCCCCATCTCTACAATGAGCTGGAGAAGGAAATGGCAAACCACTGCAGAATCTTTGCCAAGAAAACCTTAGATAGGGTCAGGATGAGTTGGACATGATGGAAAAACAACTGAACAACAATGGAAAGTCCATTACTTTCCTTACAGAGTGAGAGCCTTACAGAAGTGAGAGCCCAAATTTGAACTGGGGTCTTCTGGCACCAAATCCAGTGCTTTCCCCCTTTATCTCTGTGGATGATAGGTATTTGATGTTGTTTCATTGTGGGATGACTTTGTTAGGAAGTCCTTCCTTCTATTACGCCAGACTCTGACTGTGTAACTTCCACCCTTTACCCCTGGTTCTGTCCTCTGGGGCCAGGCAGGGTAAGTCTTTCCTCTTCCATATGAAAGTCCTTCAGAGATTGGAAGAAAGCAATGAATCTGAGGATATATGGTTAACCTTTACTGGTGAGGTACAGGGCCTCCCCACTTACATCAGGTTGCCTTTCTTGGGCTTCATGGACTGAAGGGGTGGACTGGGGAGTGGAATAGAATCCCATTCTGTTATTGGGGTTTAGTGAACACATCTCATTTGAACCCCTTTCCAGCATTGTAGACTTACACTCTCCCCTCTTCTCCCCAGATGGAAGAGGCCTCATTCTTTTAGTTTGCCCCTATCTCTAACCCCCCAGGACTATATCAAGCCCTTTTTCCAACTCCCTTAGGTCCCCTCCCCCTTGGAGGGCAGGGCCAGATCCACAGCCTATTCCAGGTATATCCAGAGATGGAAGGATAGGAGGTAGAGCTGGAAGAGACAATCCAGGTTACCTAGTTCAATGCCAGCCTCCCCAGTTTACATAAATGGAAGACACTGAGACCCAGAGAGGTCTGTGTCAGAGGTGGATTTACAAACCGGGTTTTACAAACTGGATGCCTGTCCAGTGCTTATTCTACTATATCATGCTACCTCCTTCCCATAGTCAGAACCTCAGAGCTGGGAGAGACCTCTGAGGCCATCTGGTCCACCTTTCCCCAACTTCTGTATTTTACAGATGGGGAAACTGAGGTTGAGAAGAGGGAAGGGCTTGGCCATGTCAAAGAATTTAAGAATTGGACTTAGTGGGCATCTAATCCAATCTTGAATCAAAAGAAATCCCCCACTATAACACATGTGCTATAACATATACAAATGGTTATCTAGCCTCCTTTTGAAGGCCTCCAGTGAAAGGAAACCCACCACCTCTAGAGGCAGCCCATGCCCCTGTTGGATGGCTTTAATCCTTAGGAAGTTTTTCCTGACATCAGACCTAAATTTGCTTCCTTGTGACTTCCACCCATTGTTCCTGGTTCAGACTTTTGGGGCCAAACAGAAGAAACCTAATCCCTTTCGCACACAACAGCCCTCCTGATACTTGAAAGCAGCCACCATGGCCTCCTGAGCCTTCTTTCCTTCAGAATAAACATACCTAGCTTCTTCAATCGAACCTCATCCGATGTGGACTAGAGGCCCTTTGCCATCTTGATTGTCCTCCTGTAGACACTCCAGTTTTTCAGTGCTCTTAGACTGTGGTGCCCAGAATGGAACCTAGGCTCCAGATGAGGTCTGACGAGGGCAGAGGACGGTGGGGCTATCGTGCGTCTACTGCAAGAAGCTAGGTGCCTCAGTGCAGGCCAAGGTGATGTTAACTTTTCTGGCTGCTGTGTTACTGTGTCTGCAGCTGTTGATTGTTGTTCTGTCATTTCAGTTGTGACCACATTTGGGGTTTTCTTAGCAAAGAGGCTGGAGTGTTTTGCCATTTCCTCCTCCAGCACATTTACAGATAAGGAAACCGAGGCAAATAGGGTTAAGTAACTTGCCCAGGGTCACACAGCTAATAAGTACGTGAAACTAGATTTGAACTCAGGTCTTCCTGACCTCAGGCCTGATGCTCTCTCTACTGTATCACCTAAGTGCTCCTACAGTCCTTTACACCAATCTTTTTTTTTTTTTTTTGGTTTTGCCAGGCAGTGGGGTTAAGTAACTTGCCCAGGGTCACACAGCTAGTAAGTGTCAAGTGTCTGAGGCTGTATTTGAACTCAGGTCCTCCTGATTTCAAGGCCAGAGCTCTATCCACTATACCACCTAGCTGCCCTACACCAGTCTTTTATCAAAACAACCATTGTCTATCCGTGCCTCTCACCTTTTGCCTCCTTATGAAATGGATTTTTTTTGTACCTAAGGTTAAGACTTTACATTTATCCTTATGGAATTTAGTCTTATTAGATTTAGCCCAATGTTTCAGCTTTTCAAAAGTCTTTCAGATCCTGACTCTGTCATCCAGGGTGTTAATTCTGCCCCTGTTTTGTGTCTTCTACAGACTTGATGAGCTTGCCATCTATGTCTTTATCTGGGTCTTTGAAAAAAAAATGTTAAACAGCACAGGGCCAAGGAAAGTTCCCAAGGCCTCCTAAAATGTTGACATTGAACTAAGGACCCTTTGAGTCCAGCCATCCAACCAATTCTGAGTCCATTGGGTTGTATTATCATCTAATCTGTATCTTTCTATCTTTTTTACATCTTCTGTACTTTATCAAAAGGGTGGCTGAAACCTAGACTATACCTACAGTATCCTCATCTACTAGTTTAATAATCCTGCTAAAAAGGGCAGCTAGGTGGCGCTGTGGAGACAAAGCCAGGCCTTGAGTCGGGAAGCTCCATCTTCCTGAGTTCCAACTGTGGCCTCAGATAGCTGTGTGACCCTGGGCAAGTCACTTCAGTTTCCTTATCTGTAAAATGAACTGGAGAAGAAAATGGCAAATTACTCCAGTGTCTTTGCCAAGAAAACCCCAAATGGGGTCATAAAGGGTCAATGACTGAACAACAAACAACAACAAAAAGGAAACAAGACCAGCCTGGCCACGATGAAACCACCATGCTGGCTCTTTGTAATCACTGCTTCCCTTTCTAAATGTTTGACAACCATGTCTTTAATGAGCCATTCTAGATTTTCCCCAGGAATCCAAGTCAAGCTCACCAGCCTATAGTTTGTAGATTCCATTCTCTTCTGTGATAATTGGGACAATATTTGCCCTTTTCTCATCTTGTTTACCCCTCCCATCTTCCATGATCTCTTCATTGTTGCTGACAGTGACTCAGCCATCACATCTGCCCATTCTTTCAGAACCCAAGGATGCAGTTTTTCAGGACCAGGCAGTTAACTCGGCAGTTAAGTGCCTTCTCACTAGCTCCCTACTCATCCTGTATCACAGCTCCCTTTTAGTCATTTTTGTTCTCCTATTTCCAGTGAAACTCAGGTCTCCCAATTCCCAGTCTAGTACTCCATTGGGCATTTATTGGGTGCCATCCCTCCATCTCTATACTGTCCCTTTCTCAATGATGAGGGCAGTGTTGAACTCCAGCCTTCCAGGCAGGACACAGTGAGGTGCCCTGCATTCTGTGCTCCTGCAGTGGCAGGCAGGGCTCAGTGTGATTCTCTAGGTTAACCTTGGGTTGCTGAAGGCAGCTGGAGATACATTGGGACAATGCGCTAAAGTGGGAAGCGATAAATATGAAGTCAGAGGAACTGGGCTTTAGTCATTTAGCTATTTAGGGTCAGAGCTTTAGAGCTGGAAAGTCTCAAGCTCAGCTGACCTCAGACACCATCTAGTCCTACCTCTTCATTTTACTAGTTGGGTGGCTTGGGCCAGATTTTTCCCCTCCCTATGACTCATTTCCCCTGTCTATAAAATGGGGGAGGGGAAGGTTTGGATTCAAATGCTCTTTTAGCTCTAAATCCTCTTGTCCTGCGTTTGAGTCCTTGCTCAGGCATTTACTAGCCAAGGATAAATCACTTACTCTGATCCCCAGTTTTCTCAGCTGTAAAATGCACATGACAAAACATGCATTACCTACCTTTGAAGAAATCACTTTGTAAACCTTAAGGCATGGTGGGAATGGGAGTTATTTACAGAATCTTTTGATATCATTCACACCCTCCCATCTCTAAATCCTATGATATCTAAATCATAATCTGCAGAGGGTGCAACTGATGTGCTGATCCCTGTAGTCCTTGCCTGGAGATGACTGGGTGCTCCTTAAGGTCTGCTGAGAGAGGAAACTTCTCTTCCTCCAAGGCTCTTAAGGCTGTGAACTGTAGTCCCTAGGGAGGTGTCTACTTAGCAGTTTGCCTAGTGAGGCCCTGAGACTAGTACTCCATCCAATGGTACTGGTACTAAGAACTGGGAACTCTCCCTGGTCCTGATACAGTTCCCTGCCAATAATCGTGCCTCGCCTAGGTAACTGTTCCCTTACCTCTGCTCCTCCACTGACCCCTTGCCTCTCAAGAGTCACTGATTCATGCAAACAACAAAAATTGATTGTGCCTAATACCTGCAAGTCATCATGCCGGGCACCAGGGATACAAAGATAAAAAATGACACGGTCATTGGTCTCAAGGAGCTTCTATTCTGCTAGGCAGCGTGGGATTTAAGGGATCTTGGTGGTTTTGTTTTCATTTTATAAATCTGAGCTTAAACACCAAATAACCTGTATTTCCACATACGTAGAATAATAGAAAAAGAGGATTGTATGGAAAATTGCAGATCTTCTCTGTTATGTACAGTTTACATTTCTTTTGAAATATATAATGAATTCAACCTGTAGCTTTCAAAGCTGTCCTGCTTGTCTGTGCCCCCCACCCCCACCCCCTCCTGTTTCTTCTTCCTCTTCTCTTCCCTGCATAATAGCTCTAAATCTCAGAGAGCTAGTTTAGGGCCCTAATTTTACAGGTGAGACTGAGGCTCAGAAAAAAGAAAGGCCATTGTTTTATCTTGTCCGTGTTTAAGGAGTTCACATCTCCACCTGCTGGATCCATGGATCTTGCCTAGTGTGATGTGTGATGAAGCTTACATGCTTGTCCAGTTCTAGCCTGTGCTGTGTGCCCATTCTCTCCCCAGCCTGCAAGATGGTGCGAGCAAAGGCACAGTGACAGGAACGAGAGGCAAAACTGTCTAATTAGACTGGGATGTATAGAGTATATGGGAAGACCTGTGGTGTTGTGGATAGAGGGCTGGCTATGGAATCAGTAAGACCTGGATACAAATCTGGCATCTGACACTTAGTAGTAGGGTGACGTGGGCAAGTCATTCTCCGAGCCTCAGTTTCCTCATTCATAGAAGGGAGATGATTATACCTGCAGTACCTTCCACACAGGCTTGTTTCAAGGCTGAGATGAGATAATGTATGTGAAGTGCTACATAAATGTCAGTAACTATGTGAAGGGAAGTAATATGAAAGAAGAATGGATGGGTAGCATGGAGTCAGATCTTGGAGGGTCTTTAATGCCAGTGTTAGGAGTTCACATTTTATTTGCTAGAAACTAGGAAGATGCAAGAGAGCTGAATGAGGAAGATCCAATCAATCACTCAATTAATCAATCAACAAGCATTTATTCATTGCCTTAAATTGTGCTGGGCACTGGAGCTACAGAGATAAAAATCAAACTGTCTCTACCTTCTACAGAGGAATTCAGGTCCAGTTGTTTAGTGTCTGGGGCCTGGCAGACATGGTGGCAATACTCGAGAAAGGGTAGGTCCTAAAGCTGGGAACCTCCTACCCACATCCATATACCTTATGTATTTTGGACATTTCAGTGTTGGAATCCTACTAAGCTTAGTCCTCTAAGGCCCTCCCAGGGCCTCTCCTGGAGCTTATGGAAGATTTTCAACTCAACAAATGTCTACTGAGTGCCTAGTAGGTGCAAGGCATTGGGTTCAATGTTGAGGGGACATAGTCCGTGCCCTCAGGAAGCTTATAATCTATGGGGGGGGGCAGAATGTGAACACATATAGGACACAAACACAGCTAAGTATAATACAAATGGGGACAAAGAAAAGTCCAGATAATGTTCCTTGGGAAAAGCAGAGGTGGGAGGGAACACTTTCAGTTGGGAAAGCTTCACAAATGGCACCGGGGTTGAGTCTTGAAGGAAGAGGATTTCAATAGGCAGGGATGAGGAATGAGCACAGGAGATGACCTGCACTGTATGGAGAGGCAAAGGATGGTAGATTTAGAGATGGGAGGGTGTGAATGATGTCAAGAGATTCTGTAAATAAGAGTTTGGAGAACGAGCAGCCCAGTTGTATAGAACATGGACTGTGTGAATGGGAGGAATAAAGCTGGAAGGGTAAGTTGAAGCCATGATGAGGTGGCCCTTTTTCCTTTCCAGAGCAGACCCCTTTCCCACATGCACACAGGATCCACTGTATCCCATTTTCTCTAGCAGGTTGCTTCCTCTGTTGTTTCCACTTCAATCTCTCCCTGTCTAATGACTTATTTCTCTACTTCACACAAACATGCCCATGTCTCCCTCACCCTCCAAAGATCCTCACTTGATCCTGCCATCCCTGCTATCTATTGTCCTAGATCTCTAGTCTTTTGTGGATAAACTTAAAAAGGCTGCCTACTGTAGATGCCTTCCTCTTCTCTCACTCTGATCTGAACTCTATGATCTAGTTTCCAAACTCATCATTCAACCAACACTGCTCTCTCCAAAGCTACCAGTGATCTAATCTTCAAATCCAATGGCCTTTTCTCAATCCTGCTTTTAAGTCCTCTCTCATTTGTCCCTCAGAGTAACCCTGTGAAAGTAGATGCTCCTATCATTCCTATTTTATAGCTGAGGAAATTGAAGTTGAGGTTAGATTAATTGCCCAAAGTTACACAGCAGCATCTACCTGAGTCAGGATGTCTACATACCCCAACCACACCCAGGTGTTTCCCTGGTCAAAACCCGTGCTCAGGAAAATACGTGAATATGATGGATAAAACAGATTTTTACTGAGTTGTAATTCCTAATAAGGCAGGATCCAAATTCAGATTTTTCTGACCTCAAGCCTGACCCTCTATCCCACTATGCTACCTAAGCTGCTTACCTCCTTATCCCCATACCTCAAAATTAGAAATTTGTTATTTCTTGAAAATACTAACAGGGTCAGAAATTATGCCTTTTATCAGATGCCTTCTTCTCTGGATTCTGGCTGTGTCCTGGCTGAGGGTGAAGTGCAGGCTGGACGACCACTTATGTTGGGGAGGCTGAGGTGGCTCTTGGTGTACTTTAGACTGGAAGCAGGGCCAACCAGTATTTGGCACATTGCCCAGGATGGAACTTGGTGAAGAAGCCAAGGTAGAAAGAAGGCATTTGAATTACACAAATTTGAAGCCCTTGAGATATTACTGACCAGAAAAAACTTAGTATTCCTACCCCACCAGAAAATGAGGGCCAGAATGGGGCAATAAGGTTGCATGGTCAGTAGCAGAGCTTGGACTCACGAGCCCCGAGCTTCAAGTCCAGTGTTTATCTTCAAGGGCTGTGTGAGAAGATAGGTGTGATACAGAAGTTTGAGATCAGAGGGTAAGAGCTAGGGCATCACCCCCACTTTGTCTTTTCTCCCTTGCAGGAGTATGTGAGGTGGATCATCAGAATAGAGCAGGGTACACAGCCCTCATGCTGGCTGCTCTGGCCTCTGTGGATGGAGAGGATGACATGGATGTAATTAGGAGGCTGTTCAGCTTAGGAAATGTCAATGCCAAAGCCAGCCAGGTGAGACCCCTTCCCTGCTCGTAGAGGGGGCCACAATCTCAACATCCAAGGGATCCAAATGAATCCATCCAGGCTGCTTTAGGGTATCCAGTCTAACAGTACTTCCTTAATCTGATTGGGTGACCATCCTTGGCCCTGGTCTGGTCCCTTCCCCGCTGAGCTGGGATAGGTGCTCCTGGCCCAGACTCTACCCTTGGTTTTTTCAGGCAGGACAGACAGCCCTGATGCTGGCAGTGAGCCATGGTCGGCAGGATATGGTGGCTGCCCTGCTAGCCTGTGGGGCTGATGTGAACCTGCAAGATGAGGAAGGCTCCACAGCCCTGATGTGTGCCAGTGAACATGGGCGTGTGGAGATGGTAAAGCTCCTCCTGGCCCAGCCAACATGTGACCAGGATGTCTTGGATAATGTGAGGCTGGGGCCTGCATGGTGGGGGGAGGAATGGGATTTTGAACACCACCCTCTTCTAACTTGCCCAAAACTCCAACTCCATTTCTCACCTCTTCTCCCTTAATTCGTGGGATCACTGTGGGGCCCATATCACTCTCTCCCTCCCTGAGGCTACAATGGGTCTAGTCTACCCTCAGGAGCTGTCAAGGTCAGTCTCATTCCCCAGGTTAGCTTGTCTCAATTCCTTTTCCTTCCCACAAAGGAAGGCACTAGTGCCCTGGCTATAGCTCTGGAAGCCGGACAGGAAGAAGTCGCTGCCCTGCTGCACGCACACTTAAGTTCAGCTAAACCAGGGCCTTTGGTAAGCCACCTTTTCATGAACCCTACAAAAGATTCTTCCAGCACCCATTATCAACACCCTGTGGAGGAAGGAAGACAAGGCAGATTGTGTTAAGTGGTTTGAAGCTTTATTTGGCAGTATGGGGCAAACTGGAGTAGGAAGTCTGAAGTCAGGTGAACTAGTATAAAGAGACCATTGTAATTATACAGGAAAAAGGTGAAAAGGCTAGGGTAATGACAATGGAAGGGGCCACTATGAAGCATTTCAAAGACATGACAGAATTGGCCACTGGCTAGATTTTGAGGGTGGGGGCGGGCAGTAACATAAGAAGTAAAAAACAACCAGTTTTTTTAACCTTAGCCACTAGAATGGTGGTGCTCTATTAACTATTTTGGGGTTATTTGGTGAAAGGAACGGCAGCATTTTAGACATCCAGATGGTGTTGAACATACACTTGGAAACATGGGGATTTCAGGAAAAATCAGAGCTAAAAATAGAGGTTCAAAGAAGGGAAGCTATGGGAAGGATTGAAAACAGAAAAAGCATAATTAATAGAAGAATAAATCCTCTTGAATAAAGCCTCCTGAATATGGACAGAAAACATTTCAAATTGTTTCAAAAGTAACCTTTTTTGTAGGGATAAGTCAGACAGTTTACTTTTTTTTTTTGTAAAGGGTAGAAGACATCTAAACATATATGCAAGCAAAGGAGAAGCAGCCAGGGGAGACTGAAGTTAAGAGATCACATCTGGAATATGGTCCTAAAGTAGGAGAGGATGGGAGGGAAAAAGAGGTTAAGATTTCATATTCAACACTGCTTATCACAATAGGCACAAGGCTAGTAAATGGGTGGGTTTAGGATATATTGAGGCTGAATAAAAGATGGATGGACTTTCCCATCCCCTTCAATTCATAACTATAACCCTATCTTCCAGACACCACCAGCTTCTCCTGATTCTGAAAGCAGCGATACTGATGACAAGTGTTGTGAGAGCAAGCAGGATGTTGGGCCTATGTGATTGGCCACATCACGTCCCTGGTCCCATCTCAGCTAAATAAGAGTTTGATGCTCTGTTCTCTTTCCACTAACCCACTTGATAGTAAATAGCCTGGACCTGTATAGGCTCCCAGTTAGTGTTCCACAAAGCACCTTATAGTGAAAAGCCTTTTTAAACCAGTGGGAGCAAGCACAAGTGAATCCCAAGGTTCTCAGGAATTAGAGACCTGACTGGAAAATGGAAATGAAGTAGCTCAGGGAAGGGTGAATGTCACCCAGGAATAACTTTGCATTCCCCAGTTCCAGGCTTGTGACTGGCCAACAGATTTACATGAAGAATCTCCAAAAATTATTCCTAGCACTTTCTTATTCTGTGAACTGCGAGTTCTTATTTTCCCCAAGCGTTCCATCTAGCCACCATGCCATTTAAAATGGTTTCTTATTCTTGGTTCCTGTCAATTAAAGCCCTCTAGCTACTACACTCAAGACTCAGAAAGGGAAAAGGATGGTTTCAGTACAAAGCACACCAGTTTGGGCTCAGGTGACCTGTACTTGTGTCTTACTGCAAGGTCAGGCCTCATTTCTGTATATATTCCTCTATATAAGGTCTCTCCTGCTTTAGACCTTACAAAGGCAGAGCAGGTTAGCTCTATGGTCCTCACCCCAGCCCAAGGGTCCTGAATAGCCAGGCCTCAGTTCTGTCCTATTCTGAGGTAGGAGGTCCCCAATCCAATCTGGGGAAACAGAAACTTTCCAATAAAATGCAATTAACTGGTTACATTTTCTGATTTCTGTTTTTGGGAAAGAAGAGGCTATATCAGAATACTTGACCCTGATACTAGGTTACAAAGGATACCTGTTTACATCCTATTTGGCACTGTCCAGCATTCCATCTTCCCCTTCCTTGATTTCAAGATACCAGGTACCTCAGGGGATAAAAAGGACCTGGGTCTACCTGATTACCCCACCTTTAAAAGGTCACACTACTCAGCAGCTTAGACAAAACTCTTTATTTTACACATCCCTTAGCAGTCCTTCCACGACCAGCAGCCTAGGGGCCTCCACCTGAAAATAAAGTCAGTGTAAGGTACTAGGACTTTTCTACTAAAGTTCCAGCTCATAGCATCTACCACTGTGATCCCAACCACCACCAGCCTTTTGATTTTACTTATTTAGGACCCTCTTTGGGTCTGGCCTAAAACCAAGCCTATTTTGAGAGTCCCAGGACTACCCCCCCTTGGTGCTAACTATCTGTTGACCTTGCCCTCCTAGCTTGAACCACCAACAGCCTTCCCGAGCTCTCCCACACATTGTCTGGGGCTCTGGATAAAGTCACCTCTTTCTGGGGCTCAGTTTCCTCCACTGTAGCATGACAGAACTGAGTTGAGGCTGCAGATTCAAGGGGCATTGTTAGGGCTGTCAGACTTGACCTGTTCCTTAAGACAGTTCTGGAGATCAGGCTGTCCCCCAAGTCCCTTGCCCTCTCTGGGCCTCAGTACCCTATTCTGTCAAAAGGCGCTTTGGGGGACTGTGTGGTAGGATGGATGGGGTTCGGAAGAGGCCCTGGCCAGGGCTGGGCTCGATCATCGGCACACCTGGTCCCCCTTCCCCGGCTGCTGGGGCGGCTCGGCGGCACTCACCGGTCGGTCTCACCGCAGCCTCCGGGCCTCACGCTCCGACTCCAGCAGGGTGAGCACGTCCCCCTCCCGCACGGGGCCCTTCACGTTGCGGATGATGGAGCGGCTCGTGTCGTCCATGAACTCCACGCGCACCTAGACAGGGGGCAGAGCGGCCTCAGGGGCGCCGGGCGGAGGAGGGGCCGGGGCCGAGGCAGGGGGCGCAAGGAGGGGAGGGGGCGCTCGGGCGTGGACTTACCTGGGTGCACTGGCCCTGAGAACCGGTCCTGCCCAGCACCTTGGTGACCTGGGGACGGACGGCGGAGAGCGTGAGGCCGGGCCATCCACCCGCTCCTCCCTCCCTCCTTCCCAGGCGCGGGAGCGACTCGGGCTCGTAGCCCCTCGCTGGAACCCAGGCAGCCGCCCCTTGCAGCTCCCTTCCTCCGCCCCGAGCCCCGGTCCCGGCCTCTGCTCCTCACCCGAGCCAGCTTGATGGGTTGCACGCGGCCTGTGTCCATGATGGCGGCTGCAACAGAAGATGGGAAAGACGAGAGAGAGTCACGTGCCCCTGGCGCCTACTTTATAGGCTTCCTCAAGTCCCGCCTCCGGCGCTCGCGAGACCACGGCGCTCGCGTTCCCTCCCTCCCTTCCCAGCAGCCTTTGCGGCTGCAGTTGTTGCCCTTCAGCCCAGATGCAATATGGCGTCGGCCACTGGCTTCATCCGGTGGCTCCGGAATACCGCCTCCGGGGTGCGGCGACGACCCTAGGGACGAGGGCACGATATAATGACGCTGGGGACGGAGACCTGACGGACTGACATCCCCGTGTTCCTCCTGTGTATCCCCTGCCCCCCATCTCGCTCTTTACCTGTACCTGCCTGCTCTGGCCTATAACCCCGCCCCCTGTCTCACCTGTGGCTCTCCCGCTGCAGCCCAACCTCTAACCTTGTCCCCAAACTCTCCTCCTGCACCCCCGTTCCTGCCGCTGCCTCTGGCCCCGCTCCTCGCCCGGGACCCTTGTTTCTGTCCTCGTTCTCAGCAGCCCAATGTCCAACCCTAAGTCCTTGTCACCCGTACCTTTGACCCCATGTCCTACACCCCTGTCCCTGTCTGCAGTCCCTGTCTCTGACCCCTCTGTCCATCCCTCACTTCTGACCCTGAACCTCGGCACCCTTTGGTCTTTTGTCACTGGTCCCACCTCCGACCTCATGATTATATCCCTTCATCTTTGACTCTGTACTTACCCCAAACTCTGTCCTCCACTTCCCCTCTGACACCTTCCTTTACCCTCTCTAGTGCATCCATCCCTGTTCTAGGCTCCTTGCATCCTGTCTCTGTTCCACCACTGTTCCTGCTCTCCATACCCTCCCTCCTGTATACTCCACTTCTCCCTATGCCTAGGAATATGCTTATTCCTCCTAGGGCTTTTCCCCTCAGATTTACCATAAACTCCAACCCTGCCCTTCTCTCTTGCCCTTTCTCTTAGCTGTAACCTCCTTCTCCTTTTCTCTTGGGTATGACCTCATCCCGATCTCTACCTTCTAACCTATGGTGTACACCTGCCTCTTGAGATACTTCATCTCTTGCTCTTGGGTGTACCTCTATTCTCATTACCTCCTCTTACCCTGGGATATGCCCTCGACTAAACCCGCCTGGCACACCGAAGCTATATATTCTTTGTTCTTATCCTGTGGTCACTACTGTTTTCTCCTCATTTTCTTTTCTTCACAGCATAATCTCCAAGCAAAATTGCAGTTACGTTACCAGGAGATATCTAAGAGGTGAGCAGGTTTACTACTGTCTCTTCCAATGTCCATCACTTCCTTCTTTGTCTAGCTGTGAGGTCAGCAATTTTTGTAGCTCTGTCAGGAAATTTGCCTAAGGTTTAGACAGGAGAGGAAAGGAAGAAAAGTGGGAGGGAAGAAGGGAGAACAAAAAAGAAAGGGATAATAATGATGATTCCATACCCCCCCATTACTATTTTCTGTATGCCTTTATTTTATTTTTTGTCTTATTTTATCCAGATGGCTCTGGGAAGGAGACAGGACAGGGTGAGAAAATGAAGACTCAGAGCTAAGATAACTTATCCAAGAAGGAGCCAGAATTCATAAACTAGCTTATTAGTTACAACAAAACTAACTTACTCTGAAATATGAAATTGGCTTATTCAGGCTTAAACTAAGCTCCTTGAAGGCAGGGACTGTCTTTTGCCTCTTTTGTAATCTTAGTGTTAGCACATAGTAGGTGCTTAATAAATGTTTATTGTTTGATTAATTCTACTAGCTGCCTCTTGGGAAGAGGCTTGGTAGATTCTAGGAATTTGGTGACAGTAGACATGCAGGTCAGGCTTGAGGGCTTACATCTTTGAAATAGGATGCTAATATACTTTTGTTGGGAATTCTTATATCCAGCCCTCACTTTTGGGTTTCTGAATTCCTACCTTTAATTTGAAATGAAAAATAAAAACTAGCTCACAACTTCTTATTTCTTAAAATTTTTTAGAATGTTCTATGTGTGCTTTGAGGGTAACTTTTATGAAAATGTTAGAAAGGAAAGCAATTTTTCATAGATTTTCTATAGAGAATGCTATATAAACTCCTACATTTAGAGGTGAAAATTATCTCAGAGCCTCTAGTCCTCACTTTACACGTGAGGAAATGGCAATTTCGGAATGAGAACTGACTTGTCCAAGGTTATACTGGCAGTAAGCCTCAGGGATGGGATTTGACCTCAAAGCTACTACTCTTTCTACATTTCACTCTGCTTTTGCACCTTCATGGTTGCTTCGTTGACTGAGAGATGAAGAGAATACAAGATCTTTGTCTTTGTGTGTTGGTTACAAAAAAGCATTTGTCTTGGTAAAACAAAACACAGCCTCAAATATTCTTTTAGTAAGGTGTTTCCTATTTTTATATTATTTATATAGTAATAGAAGATTCCTTCATGGATAACTTGATGTTCAAAAGAAAAAATGAAAATATCAAGATGCAGTTTAATGTCCCAGTTGAAGCTCCTGGCTATAGGGTAGGAGAGGATGCCTCATTATAGTAAAAAAGGCTTTGTATTTTTCATGAGAAGACTTGGGTTTGAATCTTGACTACTTTTCACTTGTATGATGTTAGGCGTCATTCACTCCCTGAGGCGAAGGTCTTCTTAAAGTCTTCCCTCAAGCAGAAAACTGGGAAAGAATTTTTACAACCAGTGTCTCTGATAAAGGCCTCTTTTCTAAAATACATAGGGAACTAAGTCAAATTTATAAGAATACAAGTCATTCCCCAGTTGATAAATGGTCAAAGGATATGAACAGGCAGTTCTCAGATGAAGAAACTAAAGCTACCTATAATCATATGAACAAATGTTCTAAATCACTATTGATTAGAGATGCAAATCAAAAGGACTCTGAGGTGCCACATCACACCTATCAGATTGGCTAACAAGACAAAACAGGACATGATAAATGTTGGAGAAGATGCAGGAAAATTGGAACACTAATACAATGTTGGTGGAGTTGTAAAATGATCCAACCATTCTGGAGAGCAATTTGAGGCTATGCCCAAAGGGCTATAAAAATGTGCATACCCTTTGACCCAGCAATAGCACTTTTAGGGCTGTATCCCAAAGAGATCATAAAAATGAGAAAAGGACCCACATGGACAAAAAATATTTATAGCAGCTCTTTTTGTGTTGGCAGTGAATTGGAAATTGAGGGGATACCCATCAATTGGGGAATGGCTGAACAAGTTGTTGTATATGAATGTAGTGGAAAACTCTTGTGCTGTAAGAAATGATGAGCAGGCAGAATTCAGAAAAACTTGGAAAGACTTGTATGAACTGATGCAGTGAAAGGAGCAGAACCAGGAGAACATTGTACACAGTGACAGCCACATTGTGCGATGACTGACTTTGATAGACTTGTCTCTTCACAACAACTGAAGAATCTAAGACAATTACAAAAAGGTTCATGATGGACATTGCTGTCCACATTCAGAGAAAGAACCATGGAGTCTGAATGCAGAGGGAAGCAGACTCCTCGCTCTCCTTTTCCTTTGTTTTGTTTTATTGCTTCATTCTTGTGGTTCCTCCCATTAGTTCTCATTGTTCTTACATCTTGACTAATGGGAAAACATGCTTCGCATGAATGTATATGTAGAGCCTTTATCAGATTGTACGTCATCTGGGGTGTGGGGAGGATTCAAAACTCAAAATCTTATGGAAGTGAATGTTGAAAACTAAAAATAAATAAATTAAAAATAAAAAAAATAATAATAAAGTCTTCCCCCAAGGAAGCTGCTTAGAGGTGGCAAAGTGGATAGAATGTTAGACCTAGAGCTAGGAAGACTTGAGTTCAAATCCAGCCTCATGCATTAGCTTTGTGAAAAGTCACTTAACTTCTGTGCCTCATTTTCCTCAGCTGTAAAATGAGGATGACAATAATAGCACCTGCTTGACAGTTATTTTAAGCACCAAATAAGATATTCGTAAAGCTCTTTGCAAATCTTAAAACATTATATAAATGCCAGCTATTATTAAATCCTTAAGTCAGAAAGTTGTGAATTCAAATTCTACCTCAGACACTTGCTAGCTGTATGACCCAGGACAAGTCACTTCACCTCTGTCTGTTTAGTTTCCTGATCTGTAAGGTGAGAGTTCTTATGAAATCACATGATATTTGTAAAAGCCCTTTGCAAGCTTTAAAGCACTATGTAAATGCTAGCTATCATCATCATCATCATTATTATTATTATAAGAGGAGACTCATTGGGAAAATGAAGAAGCTGGGCTGGGTCATGTCTAAGGTCCTCCCAGCTCTAAATTGTAAGCCATTTTGTAGTTAGTAGATAAGGCTATAAATGCTATGAAAGCTTTTGTTCATTCTTTTCATTTCCTGTCCATCATGGTCACACCAAGAACACTGGAGTAAGAATTAGGAGTTAAGCCTTGTTATTGCAACTGAAGTCATCTGGGTCTCAGTTTCTCTATCTGGAAAATGGGGATAATAATTCTTATCCAGAAGGATCAAATGAGATCCTGTACTTAGAAGCAAATTAATTCATAAAATCCTCAATGGAGAGAAAATATGGGACCCTTGCCAAAGAACCTGATTTCCTGGGCCAGCGACAGTGCATGGGATTTAAGGTCTGGGGTACTGTGTGCTCTTCTGGGCAACACATTTTAGGCAGAATGTTGGCAAAGTAGAGGAAGTACAGGGCCTGGGACTGGAGACTGCTGTATGAAGGGACATGGGAAGAGCTGGGCGTGTTTGATTTGGAAAAAATGTGGAGAATGAGGGACAAGTCTTGTTTGGTTTGGCTTCAGAGAGCTGAATTTGGGTTAGTGGGGAGGGAGCTACAGAGGCAGATCTGGGGCTCAGCATGAAAGGACTTCTTGGTACTTAACGCTACCTCGGAAGACTGGAGGCCTTCACAGGTTCCTCCCAAACTGAAATTCTGTGATTCTGCCTCTGTAAACCTTTCCAGATAAAAGAAAGCTCAGCTCAGCTGCTCAGCCGCAAGAATAATGAAGAACACGATTTCGCTGTGCGGTGGGTCAGCTCCACTTCTTTGTTTTGTCCTGGATATCTGTCAGGCACT